TTTTTTTTTTTTTTTTTTTTGTCACTTGAAGATTTCAAATTTCAAATGCCACCTGATTCTCAATACAAAGTACAAAACACAAATTTATTCAACGAAAAAAGAAAAAAATTGTTCAAAGTTCTTCCCAATTTCACACTATTGTTAAAACTCTTAATCTTACCGGGCTTTTGGTATATCAAGGTCACGAAAAACCGGGCTGTCGACTTCAACTCCCATTGCATTAAGCCCATTGTCGACATAAACAACGGCACCAGTAATGGCCGACGCCAGTGGAGACACCAGAAAAGCAGCAGCATTTCCAACCTCATCTGCTTACATTAATTTTTTTTTTTTTTTTTTTCATGCTTAGTGATTGAAAACAACAACACATTTAGATTAAAGCGTAAAATATCGGGTGTATGTATTTTGTAAGAAATTGCAAATGTCGTTTGGGTTCTTGTGATTGTGATGCCTCGATGACGTTTATGTAACATTAAGAGGAATGTTTTCTTGGTAAATATTCAAAATCTCAAGGCTAGTTTTTGTAATTATGTCATTTTCAAATTTTTGTTTATTTAAGTGTGGAAGATGGCTCACCAGCAGTTAGCTCCTTCTGCAAAGGTGCATTCTCCAACGAGTAATCGATCATCATGTCGATAAATCCGATAGCTTTTGCAGCACGGCTTCTTAATGGGCCTGAATCAAGAAGTTACAACTATAAAATGTGAATTTGGACTTCACTAATTAAAACATTTTTATCTTTTACAAAGAAAATAATCATCTTGCAGTATGATTATTCCTAAATTCCATGGTACCCCAATAGGCAAACTGTGTCAGTTATAATCAACATTCGGGCACCGTTACTTTCCAGCATCAGGAGAAAAATTCATAGATTTAAGAGCTTCTTAGATGTTTTTCCAAGTTCAACTTCGTGTTTCCAGTGTTGAAAAATAAACTTCTACATTTATTGTTTTACATGTCAAAATTGGGAAAGATTAGTGATGTGGGACAGTGATTTGAAATGGAAATGAAAATTAGTTTTACAAGGAGAAAAAACTACAAGAAAACATGATTCCGATTTTACGAATAGTCAAACAGTTGGAAAATGGAACGGTTGTTTCAAACATGAACAAAGATTTCACCACTTCAGCTGTTGTTCTAATTTGACATACCTGCAGATATGGTGTTGACTCTAATGTTGTGTTTTCTTCCAGCTTCAAAAGCAAGCACCTAAACAATGGTTCGGTTTTAGGACATCAGGGTAATGTAAGTATAGGCAAATAAAAATAAAACGAGCGAAAAGAAAAAAAGGACCAACCCTTGTGTCACTCTCTAAAGCAGACTTTGCTGAACTCATCCCGCCACCATATCTGGAAAGCAAAAGGTTAAACTGCAACGTTACCATTTTTTTAAAATAAACGAAGAAAGAAAAAAAAAAATGATCTTTCAGAATTACAAATTTACAAGCACCCTTCAAGATTTGTATTTCCCCAGTCAGATACACAGGGTATATGTAGCTTTTGAAAATCCAAAGAGGAAAATTTCCATAGTCAGACTAAAAGGGAAAATGTACCCTGGTATTATTTTCTCGGAGGCAATGTATGTTAGAGATATTGTGGCACCGCCTGCAGGGAAGAGGAGAAAAGGTCGAAAAATGATAATTATTGGCGGCAAATTAACTTTTTCTTTATTTTGCAAGATAGGGAACATATGTAGTAAAATACCAGGAGTCATGATGGGAAGAAAGTGTTTGAGGAGAGAAATAAACGAATAGCTTGATGCGGAGATTGCTGCAAGGTAACCATTTCTGGATGTCTCCAGCAGAGGCTTACCAACCTGCAATTTATTTCCAGACAACACGAGATAAAACCGTTATGTTTTTTAGAAAATGATTAGAAGAAAAAAAAAAAAAAAGCAAAACTATGATAAAGGGAACACCTCTGGACCATTGGCAAGCGAGTGAACGAGAATGTCAATTGTGCCGACACCCTGTTTCACCGATTCAGCAACTTCCTGCAACAGAGAGAGAGCCTTCAGCATGTGAACATATTGGCATAAGTACCAATTTTCAAAGACAGTCAAAAGAACGTAGTATTTGTTTCCATTTTTCTAACTTCATTTTTTGTTTTGATATTTCACTTTTTTGCCAGGCAATGCTAGAATTTTGTATGTTGCTAAATTTCCATTGAAGTGATAACAACATAAAAAACTCTACAATGTATATAAGAGAAGGCAAAAGGAACAAGAAAACATATAGAAGCCAAGAACCTTCACAGTCCATTTTGAAGATCCTACGTAGCGTTTATTTGTTTTGATCTGCGTAGCAGTATAAATTAATATGTAACCGCAGGTAAAAAAAATATTATAAACCAGGAATTGGGGTATTGTTGAAAAGGCTTCTTCTTACATCTTCAGGAACATCCTCGGGAGAGTCAAAAACAGCATCGAGTGGGTAGACTTTTGCAATTTCCATTAGAGAACCATCTGGCAGCCTAACAGTACCAAATCGCGAAAAAAAGTAAAACCACAAACACAACATCAACAACATACCCAGTATATTCCCAACTGGTTGGGGTCTGGGAAAACCACAAACACAACAAAAAAAAAAAGGAAGTACATACGAAGCTTTTTAATTAGAAAATGAGTCGATGCTTACACCCGTGACTCATCAAACTTCCCACGCCGTAAGCTGGTTTCGAAGATATTTAGTGCTTTGAGATTAGAGTGCTGTTAGCACCAAAAAAAGAACAAAAAGGAAAAAAGACGAAAGCTCAGAGAGTGAAATACATACAGGAACCCAAGTCCCAACTAGAATTTCAGCTCCGGCAGCTGCTAGAGATTTTGCAATGGCCCACCCATACCCATTATCATCAGCTATACCGGCAATGAATGCCCTTTTTCCTGAAGATAAACCACTGTACATAGGTAATTTGTAGAACCATTACTCACCTTTAAAAGCTTAGCCATTGAATTTTTTGAGTCAAGATAAAAACATCTTATAAGAGCTAAACATGCTCTCAAGTATTGGGACAGGCATATATAATTTTAAATGACGCACGCAACATAGGCATTACGAAAATCGAAAATTGAACGCCAAACGAGGTAAAAAGGACCAACCTCTCAGATCAACAGACAGTCCTGGCAAAGGCTGTTTTTCACTAGCTCCCGACATTGCTTTTACACAAAGCCTTTCACATTTCGACCAATTTATTTCATAAGTTTTGGAGAAAGACTGTGTTTCCGGTTGCGAAAAAGAGCTTCTAAGCTTTGTCCAAGACGTGCCTTTGGTTTCATTGCCGAAATAAGCAATGCTCGGTCTGCAATTTGCATGAGACGCGGGAACAAGAGACTTTGGAGATAGAATGTGAGTGCCGGGAGTCGCATTTGCAGCCATGTCGCTTTAAGATAGATAGTAATGCTGCCGACAATTTACGGAGTCAGAGTGAGTGATATCAACATTCAAATTTGATACAAAGTTATGGCGATGTCAAAGAAGACACATGGAAGACCTAAACCTAAGAATCAAGATTCGTTTACCCACAAATGAAGGAATTTATCATTAATTAAGATATTGTGAGCATCTGCCAACAAAAATTTCAAAAAAGGAAAGTCCTTTTACATAAACAATCATTTGGATTATACAATGTAGGTCTTCTTGACATAACAAAGCTCAATTATTTTCGGGTAGATACGTCAAATATCCAACACATAAACATAAAACTAAATCCGAGTTTCGTAAAACGTGTAGAGAAGCATTCACTAAGTCAGCCTGCATTTAGAAGGCACTCAAATTCTTCCCAATATGAAATAAACACACACATAATCTACATTCCATCTGGACAACCAAATTCCATTTTCTAGACCTAAATCACATCCAAGTAAACACGATATCAAAATATGAATATCTTCTTGAACAAAACGCATGTCAAGCTCAAAATGCACCAGCTTATAAAACCTCACCAATCCATGACACCAAGAAATAACCACAGCACACAGAAAATATTCGCTATAAATCCAACAACAGACACTCTAAAAGATCAAAAAATTGCTACAAAACAACAGATCAAACGACCCCACACTACACAAGACCATTTCTTACAGATAAAAATGAAGACGTCGAAAACCCACCTTCCTTAAATATCCTGTAAGGAAGTATAAGCTTTTTTTTTCTTGCTAAAGCCCTTTTCTTTGAAGCCTGCGTGTGTGTTTGTGTGCTCCGATGAGAACTATGGTGTTTTTGAAAGTGGCCATGGGAGATTATGAGCTGCTCTCTGGGCAGATGCAGAGGTGGTGGAAGGACTTAAGAATAAGATAGACACATTATTTTTATGAATATAATTTTTATACTCCTTTGTTTCTTTTTAGATGTCTTTTTAATTTAAAAATTTTAAATTACTATTTTTATGAGTTATGTAATTATCTTATCTACTAATTCTCTTAAATTTTGTGTTTGAATTATTAATGAGTCATTTTTAAAGCTAATGATAAGAGAGAAAGTTTTTAGGTGATTTTTTAAGATTTGTTAAAGAGGATAAAGTTGAAAGAATGAATAAAATATTTCCAGCGACAATTAATTTGCATAAAAATTGATATCCACATTTATAAAAAAAACAGAGGGAGTATTATTTAAATTAATATAACCTAAAAGTAACTTACCAAATAAAACTGCCACACATTGAGTTCTTTCAACTGCATGTAATGCTACCCATAGGACCACTAAATTGGAAGATCGTGTAAATCTTTTACCAACCATAATTATCGGCTAAGAAAATATATCTTCGCTATCAAAAAACCTCGCCATTCTAGATTCTCGTCAACACAGATCCAAAAGAAAAAAAAAAAGAAAAAAAAAACTAACACACTTCATCGATGTTTTGACGGGGGAGGTTGATATTATCGATTTTTTGCTCCTCTGGTAGGGATTTGGAAGGTTGAGGCTTGAATTTGGGGATATTCGGGTTTATGTTTATTAATGGTATAGCCCTTGGTCATGTCGTCGTCGTCAATCTTGAAATCCCGACCTTGAGGACGAACTTGAGGTTGTACAACTTTGTCTGGTCATCCTCACCGAGCGTCGTCGAATCGAAAGGGTGAATATGTTGTTTTCCACGACGGTGTTGTTGTTGTTGTCACTGATATCCCGAAGAAGATGAAGCGCGCGGAGCGGTTGGGCATGCCGGTGCAGATGACGAAAGAGAAAAAGGGTAGTTCAGGATTTTGTGCGCGCCGCCAGGAAGGAGTGTAGTAAACATATACACAAAATGTTAGTTATATATAATTTATACTGTGTTGTTTTTTAGAGTACACAAAATTGTTAGTTGAACTTTGTAAATGTCATTTAAAGTAGACATATGTTGTTTATCTTATGTATAACCACATTCGATTTGGATTTTACAGTCATTCAGAATTGTGTATTATGTTTTATCCCGTTCTAGTGTTGTTTATATATTGTAACTCTACGGTTAATATTAGAGAACTGTCATATTATGTTTATTTGACGTATATATACAAGTTTGTTTATATGTTGTTTATCTTATGTATAACTATACGGTTAATATTAGAGAATTGTCATATTATGTTTATTTGACGTCTATATACAAGTTTGTTTATATGTTGTTTATCTTATGTATAACTATTGAGGAGCTGCGTGGGAGAGCAGCAATCAGGGTGGAGGCATACAAGCAAAGGATGCGAGCCGCTCATGACAAAAAGGTGAAAGTTCGCAGACTCCAAGTAGGCGACCTGGTCTGTAAACGTGTCGATGTGCTAAAACATGTTGGAAAGCTAGAGCCGAACTGGGAAGGGCCATACCTGGTCGAGCGAGTGCACGCAGGAGGAGCGTACTCGCTAAAGGACACAAAAGGCCGATCACTTGCCAGGTCATGGAACATAGCTAATTTGAAAAAATATTATGTGTAAAACTTTTAGCTTTTTTCAAAGGAAGCTAAAGAATTCAAACAAGGATGTAAATTGCAAAGTTTGCTCAAAAGTCAATGAAATTCAGTTATTCTTCCGTTCTACTCGCTTTATTGCACATTTTCTTATGCTTGGAATGTTGGTATAATTTGGATGACATGATGTATGTGGTGTGGTTGGACTTGGAAGTCGCTTGTTTAAAACATCCCTTGGGGTGGGCAGGTTGTTTAAAACATCCTTTCCGTCATACCCACTTTCCTGCCACGCGTCGCGTCTGCCGCCCTTGTCAGTCACTTTAATGATAGCGCCTCCTCGCATAACGCGCCTGCTTTGAGTGCCGCGTGAGTTAATGCCTACCACCGTTAGATCTGGCTTTAATCCAACGGTCTTCATCTTCCCACCCTTTAACTTTCCCAAGTATAAAATCCACACTTAGAGAATTTTCCGATTTTTTCCACCTTTGCAAATCTTAAGCTCTTGTGTGTTCAAGATTTCTTCTGCAATAAACCCTAAATCTTTCGGCGATTTCCCCTACAGTCTTTGAGCTTTCCCAGTTCTCCCTTCTGCGATTATGAGTAAGTTGCTCCTCATCTGATTTTTCGTTTCTCGTATCTGGGATTTTTGTGTTTTGAATTTTTCAAATTTGGTATCTGAGGTTTGTTGATTAAGTGCTTTGAATTTGTATGTTGGGTGTCTGTGTTCGCTTGTTAATCGTTGTGAATTTTGCCTTCTTCTCCGAAAATCTCCTGAAATTTTTGTTTTCCCCCTTTGATCTTCCAAAATCACCCTCCTCGTAGAACCCTAAGTTTTCCCTCTTTTGACTTCGATTTTGTTTTTCTTTTTTCAGATCCTGCACCTCCATCTTCCTCTTTGACCACTTCCTCTGGTTCAGTTCAGATTTTACCCTCTGCACTTGAGGTTGTTCCTCTCTCGATTTTTCGCTCCGGCGAGACCGTCCCCACCATCATTTTTACTGCCCGTGTCGCTTCTCCCAACTTCGGGGACACTATGGACAATATTCCTCTCCACTGTCGCCGACCTGCCTTTGGTGAGTTAGACGAACCAGAGGTGGACGAGGTCATTTCTCCTCAGCTTACTTCTGCTCCTTCTTCGACCATTCTGCCTTCTTCTTCTCAGCCTGGTACTTCCAACTCTCCTTCCCACAAAACCTCGGCCGAAAACCCACGCAACAATTCCACTAAGCGCCTTTCTCTCTCCCATAAATGGTTTTCTCCTGAGAAGATCGGCCACCCCAGCGGTTGGTCGTTTTTTAGTTCCTCTTCCTCCGACAAATACGATCATCCTCCCAAGAACTGTTATACCTTTTCCGAAATCCAATTCAAACTCAGCCTCCGTTTTCCTCTGTGCCCTGAGCTGCTCCAAACTTTTGAATGGTTCGGGCTTCCTCTACACCAACTTCCCAAAATGCCATCCGCTTTATGACCACCTTCATCATCCTCTGCCACATCCGTCTTGGTCGATTCGACCTTGCATTCTTTCATTACTGCTACGCCCCTTCCAAACAGGCCAGAGGCCTCTATTTGAAAAGCCGAAACAGCGCCCATTTTATCATTGACGTTCCTTCCAATCTCCCCAAGTGGATAGACCGGTTCATCTTCGTCGATCCTGACGTGCCTTTTCCTGTGGCCTTCTATCCCTTGGGTTAAGGAGGTTCCGCAGGAGGTCTCGGCCCCTCTTCCAAACCCTCTTTACGAGCAATGGGTCCACTCTTGGAACGCCAAGACCGTTGCGTCAGAAAAACTTCTCAAGGATAAGAACCTTCTCCACCACTGCGGCCTACTCACCCACAAAATTTATCCTCCTCCTACTAATGAGATCCTCGATCTAATTCGACTCGAGAATGATCCAGGTAATCCTCGATCGGATTGTTCGAGTGCATATGTGATCCTTTGTTCTCGTCTCATGTAAAAGTTATTAGTGTTGTGTTTAAAATTCTCGTTACCTTTTTGCAGAGGTTCCTAGCTTCAGTATTCCCCTTAGGAAGTCTTCTCTTATAAAGAAGATCGGGGCTACCTCTGGCTCGACCGGAGGCCAAGCTGAGGGGTCAGCTACTTCTTTCGGATCTCGACCGGAACCGCAACAACGATCACCTCCGCGAGAGACTCTACCGCCTCCTCCACTGCCATCGAAGGAACCACAGCAATAACAACAACAACAACAGCAACAACAGCCGCAACCACAACCACAAAAACAACAGCAGCCGCAACAACATCAACACCAGCAGCCCCCCAAACCGCCGCAAGGACAAACTCCGCCGCCACTTCCCGAGAAGAGTATCCAACACAAATCTACCTCTTCCTCGACCACAAAATCCTCGACCACTTCCAAGACCAACGACCGCCAAAAAACTATCGACCACCAGCATAAGACCGGCGACCGCTCTCAGAAAACCGACCACCGAGCCCCCAATCCCAAAGATAAGACTCCCTCCAAAAACACCGATAAATCCTCCGAACC